TTGGAGTTGGAAGCCTTTTGGAAGTCTCTGGTAGGAGCAGCTGCAGTTCTCTCATTTATCTCAGGTGGCCTAGACCAAGGCAAGGCCTGTCTTTATTATCTTGCTTCTGATATTGATAAGTGCTTGTTGATGTAGTAGATAGCTCTTTCTTTTCTTCCTTTCTCATCATGTTGTCCAAGTTATGCTTCATTGATGTGTCTATCACCGAGTGATATAGGATGGGTGGCTGGCCTAGAACTAATTGTATGAGGATTGCAGGGTTGACTAGATACTCCTTGATCTTGTCAATTGTTGCTTGACATTCCTCGAAAGAATTCTTTTTGAGCAACTTGAATATTGGTTCATAGATGGGAGTCAATTGGGTGATGAACCAACTAATGTAATGTATCCTTCCCAAAATTCCTTTTATCACTTTCTCTTTCATGGGAGGTGGTATCTATAGAATTGCCTTGACTTTGATAAGATCAACTTCTATTCCCCAATGATTGGTCATGAACTCCAAGAGTTTGACAGAAGTTGTATCAAATGCAAACTTATGAGGATTCAACCTTAGATTGAACTCTTTTAGCCTACTAAACACCTTTTTGAGGTTGGCAATGTCTTATTCCCTTTTCTAAGATTTGGCTATCATGTCATTGGCATATACTTTATCTCTTTGTGCATCATGTAATGGAACAAGGTTGTCATGGCTTGTTGATAAGTAGCAATAGAGTTCTTAAAACTGAATGGCATGACTTTCTAATAATTAGTGCCCCGAGGTATGTTAAAGGATATTTTCTCCCTGTCTTCCTTTTCCATGAGAATATGGTTATACTCTGAGAAGCCATCTGTGAAGGAGAGAAGGAACTCCAAGCAATGCTGCTTGCTAGGATGCCAATGTGAAAGAGAGGAAAGTCATCCTTAGGGCTGGCTTTGTTCAAGTACTTGTAGTCTATGCCCATTTTGCATTTTGACTCTTCTGTCCTTGAGCATTGGTACCATATTTGCCACTTAGGGTAGTGTGAAACTAGGAGAGAACCTACATTACATTGCTTTTTATTTCTTCTTTGATCTTGAGGGCCCATTTTGGCTCGAGTCCCCTAAGCTTCTGCTTCATTGGTTTTGCCCCTGTGGTAGGCAATTTGTGCACCACAATGTTTGTGCTTAGGTCAGACGTGTCTTAATATGACCAAGCAAATATTTTTTTGAATTCTTTCAATAGTGCAACCATAGCTTCTCTTTCCTCGGGGCTAAGGATATTGTCTACCCTGACTATTTTTGGGTTGTCTTCAGTGCCGATGTTGATGGTCTTATCCCATCCCCTCGTCCTTTGGGACATTTCTTCGTGCCACTTGAATGATTTTGTTAGCCCTTCAGTTGTATCCTTGTGTTCATCACTTGGACTATTCTCAGGGTCAGAAGGTGAAGCCAATTTGAAACCCTTAGAAGACCACAAAGACGTATAGAGATTGTGACGAAAAGCTCCCCTATGCTCTATGGGCTTATCATGTCTCCACCCACACTCCCATCAGCACTACACCTTACTGTTGGTGTACAGGATGGAACCAGTACTCCTCATTGAGGTTCAAATTCTGACTTGAAGGATTTTGATGTAATATGCCCTTTTAAAGAAGAATAGTTGTAGATCAGAGTGGAAGATTTACTAAACATTGATGAAAAAAGATTACAAGCACTTCGCGACATAAAAGCCTACCCAGAGAGAATTGCTAGATGTTTTGCAAAGAAAATCCAAACAAGGGAGTTTTAACCAAGAGATCTAGTGTTAAAGCCATCATGGGGGACCATCTGATGATAGGGGCTAGTTCAAGCCTAACTATCCTTCAAGTGCTGATGTTGAGAACTGCCAAGTGCTTCTAGGAATTTTTTTTTCTTTTTTTATGCGCTAATTTTTTCTCAGGTTGTCCTTTTGGGTTTTCAACTCAATGGACTAGAAGAATGTCCTTTCTTTGGAGTGGTTGCATATAGAACAGGGACCTAGATTGCCTACATGCTCAAGGTGGGATCAAGCCATCATAGTTCAATAAGAGATTGATTAATGACAAGTGCTATGTAGCTTAATGAGATTTAGAAAGGGGACAAAATATGGTTTGGGACTCGGGTGATGAAAGAAAAGGATAAAAAAGGCTCAAAACGGATATATATTGGGTTGCTTTGAAGGATTGTGGGTTTGTGATGAAGGATAGTAAGGTTTAGGTGAGGGTTCTAGGGCACCTTCTTCGCTGAGAGTTGTAAGGCTAATGGCCCTTTTCTTTCTTTTTTTTTTTTTCCCTTTTGAGTGAGGGGTTCCTTGGCTCCTTCGACTTAAGGCTTTCGTTGTCTAGGGGGTCTTTGGGGGGGGGGGTTACTTTTCCATAGGACAAAACATGGCTTAGGACTTGGGTTAGAAAAATAAAAGAGTATAAAAAGGCTTAAACAAAGTGTCACCTAGTGCCAATTGAGGGGTTATGAGTGGAATTTATAATCTCACTTGAGTGACTGGATAGTTGGGGACATGTTCTGGACCATTTTTGATGGACTGTCTGTGAATTTGACTTTTCCTTGAATTTTGTTTTGAACTTTTTTCCTTTTCTTTGGATGATTTTACTCTTTTTTGTTATTTTTTTTTGCAGGATTTATGTCAAGGTTCTGAATTTTTCTTTTTCATGGTCATGTTGCCCCTAGTTTTGATGGGGGTGGGTAAGTATTCCTCATTCCTCAAAAGAACCCTAGGGAAGGTTCTGAATTTTTTCTTTTTTCTATCTTTTCTGGGTCAGAAGCTTTGAGATATCACGTAGTATCTTTCTTCATCTCTTGGATGTTAGTATCCATTGACAAATTTAGGTGAAACTCTGGTACATCCTCTCATGTATTCTCTAGTATTTTGCTATTAGTATATATGCATTGCCTATTTGTAGAAGTAGTTTACATTTTTCTATAACAGAAGTTTGGGTTAGAAGCACATTGCCAAACTTATTATATTGGCCATTGACAAACTTGTTATGTTAGAAGCACATCGCCTCTAAGTTAGGTCAGCTAGTTGATTTGTTGAATGGGGCAACCGGTTATTCATAGATGTACCATGGTCATAATTAAGACAAATGCTGGACTAGTGCTACATTGAAGGCAATACCCAATTTGAATTGTTTGACTCCTGAATGCAATGAAACACTAAGAAATTATATCAGTTGGATGCTGAATGTCCTTAATCATGATGTACAATGTATGAATCAATCTTCAGCTGAAATGGAGTAATGGATACCTCACTGTTCCATGTCTATTATAGTCTTTTTATTCTTTCTGTTAACAGTATAGACTGCATCAGAGTCCATATTTGAGTGTCTTTTATAAGTTATATAGGTTTAGTTTTAAAGCAGTTAGGAGCTGGTTCTGGTCAGTCAATGAGTCTGAATCAGAAACTTTTAAAGGGAGAACCAGGAATTTCTAGTGAGTTTGTATTGAATCTGTGTAATTAATTTTTTTTTTGGAAAAGATGAATGTAATGAAATAAATTGAAGCTTGTGAGATCCAAGGACGGGTATTTTGGAGTTTTCTTCTCTCTTGTTAATATCTTTCTTCTTACTATGTCTCTAATTTCACACATTTTTTTCCTGAATCTTGGAGTACTCTTGATTGAATCTCATTTAGTCTTTAAGTTCTTGATTTCTTCTTTCTGAATTCTTGCTAATTGCTTGAATTTCTAACATTCACAAATAATCTTAAACTTCTCAATTATTTGTTAGGGATCCCACCCCCTTTTCTTTGTGCTATAATATAATGATTTTGAGTTTTATCTATTCATACACTACATAGTCAAGGCCATTTTCTTATGTACACTATAAATAGAATTCCTCGTAGTAACAACAGTAGTGATGCTGATCATGAGAATTAGCTGAATTCTTGATCATATACTGAACTAGTTGAAGCCCCTTTAACTTTCAGGGTTTCCTTATCCAGGCCCATCTTCCTATCCTTGATTAACCTCTTCAGGATTCTCTGGGTAGATTTTGATTAGGTATGTTTCAGATAAAATTGGGTAGATCCTTGGGTTATGAGAGGTGGAGCTCTGGTCCTTGGCATCTTTGTCACCAAGTCATGGTTGCTAGAATCTTGGACTCTAGTTTAGATGGCAGATTCTTCTGGGTTCCTAGATCAGTAAGCACCCTTGCCAATGTTCTATCTAGGGAAGGAATGAGAAGGTGATCTTTATATTGGGGTGTATACCCCCCACATTAGTGTCTTATGTTCTATCTGATATTTAGCTTTAACTGTTTACATGGGTAAGCACCAGTTTAGCTATCACGTTTTGTATTATTATCTCTGTATCTTTGTGTTATCTGTTTTATAAAATTCTGATCACTTATTGATGAAAGAAGCTCCAGATTAAATATGGATCTTTAGGATGATAATTTTGTGGAAATCAATGTTGGTTAATAATTTTTTAATCTTCACTCAGATATTATTCTTGAAAGAACATTGGGCCTAACCTTTCTTGAACTAGAACCAGTACAAATATTGGAGCCAATCAGTTATATATACTCAATTTGCAAAAGTAATAAAGCAAATAATTGATCATGCAGATGGGGTAAATCTAATCACATTAAGGACTATACTTCTATCCATTTGCATGGCATCCTTGTTTATATGTTGCACTCGCTCTCACTTATTTTTCTGTAGACACAACTGTACTGTAGTAGCACTTGTAGAATAGAACGGTCAGACAGTTGAATTATGTGGACCCCATATAGTTGGGTAAGGCTCTATTGAGTAGCACTGATAAATATGAAACAAAATTGTATTGATTACTTGCACTTTATCAATTTTGATCTTGTACTTTTATTTTTAACTTTGATTCCCATTTTTCAAGAATTCGGTTTGGACCATCTGAATTAATTTATGAAAATAAGCTAGGGTTCTCTTGCTGCCAATATCTGTTTGATCTTTGGCCCCAAGATGTTGTTCACATGTATCTTTGTTTTCAGATAATTAGTCCTTCTTTTTCATTTTTCTGGCTGTATTTGCAGCAATTGCTCGAACAGTGGGTCATTTATCAAAAAGTGCAGAAGTCATGAAGCTTGTTAATAACCTCATGAAAGCTCCTGAAATGGCTGCTACGATGCAAGAATTTAGTAAAGAAATGACCAAGGTATCTCTGTTTCTGTCTTCATTTTCTTTTCTTTCTCATCTAGGAAGCTTCCATGCTTTCACTAAAAAGAAAACTTGAAAGTCTCATGTTTCATATTTTATTCAAATTTGGAGAGGTGTGCTAATATTTCTGATGTTCACTGGAAAAAGTAATACCATATCATCGACCCTGCTTCCATGCCTTCCGTGTGCTTAATTTACCTGTAATGTGGCCATCAGCAGAATTATTTCTTTTTTTATTTCTTGCTTTTATTTTTTTTATCAATATTTCTTGCTTTTATTTGAGAAGGTAAAGTAAGTATTTATCTGACTGTTGGTGGACTTATCACTGGATAAAATTTATATGGTACTGCAGCATATTGCTGAGAAGTTACCAACTGTTCAATGAATTTGATTGCTTCCTGCAGTGTTTCCATTTCATGATTCGTTAAATTTGGACTTCTTCATTTTCAGATGTGCTGGATGAGTATGAGTATGTTGACAGATGATATAGGACAAGCTTTTGATTGATGTGCAGGACCAAAATTAGAGCTTAAAGAATATAATTCTAAAACTCAAGTCTAGGAAACAATGCTTAAGAATATAATTCTATCCTGCCTTGCCTGAGGCTTAAGCCTAGTGAGATCTCATTTTTTAAATTAAAGCATGAATTAAAATGATATATTGAATTATGCACACGATGATGGTCTATAAGAACATTAAAAGCTTAAAAACTAAAATGAATGATAGACATTCTTACAAACTCTGAATGTGCTCATTAGAGAACTCTTAATGTAGACCAACACCTCATGGGGTCTTAAAAACCCATAACATGTTAAGAGTAATAAATAAATTGTCAGTCTAAACTCTAAGCAAATTACACACAGAACCACACACATTGAAAACCTAGAACTGGTCTTTAACTTGTTATTCTGATGTGAAAACTTAGGGTCCATTTGGTTCCCTGGAATAGGTACCTGGAATCGAAATCAGAATGGCCATTACAATGCCAATTGTTTGTTTTGTTGGAATGGGATTCCAATCACCATTCCTGGCGGAACAGGATTCCCCCATAAGGGGGAATGGCCATTCCAGTCTCTCCCCTTGGAATGGGATTCCCATTCCAATTCTAGGGTATTCCTATTCCAATTCCAATCCCGAACGTGAACCAAACGGACCCTTAGTTAATATATAAACTATGAAGCACGTGTTAATATAAATCATCTCAAGGTGTGAGACATGTCTTGCACTTCCAAGTACCTCAAGGCATTTTCCTTGAGCCTTGCCTAGAGAAAGGTTTCCAAGGTGTATGCCTCAGACTTTTTAAAATATTATACCTAGAGAAAGGTTTCCAATGTGATGTCTTAGGTAGGGCTGTCAATGGGTTGGGTCTACCCAACAGACCTGAACTGACCAAACCGATTATAACTATTCTGGTTCCATGCTTTTGTCCCAATTAATAATTGGATCGGTTCCAGTTCTTGCCTGTCCCAAACCAATTCAGACCTGGAACCGATTATTTTATTAAATATATGATTTTTTTATTTTCTTATAATTTTTTATCATATTTTATGTTTGAAATGGTAAATTTGATAGATAATAAGTAATATAATATTAATTAAAATTGTTTAATTTATTAACATATAAATAATTTAGTATTTTTCTATCATTTTTATTAAGGTTATGTTATCAAAATTTAAATGTTAAGTTATTATTTAAATAAACAAATACAGTTTTCAGTATAATTGGGTCTATCAGGTCCCAATAGACCCAACTATTAACTGGGATGGTTCTGGGTCTGTGACTTGTCCCGATTAATAATTGGTTCAGGACTGGTTCTACATAGACCCGACCCATTGACAGCCCTAGTCTTAGTCATCCACATCGAGCCTTTCCTTTTGATCTTGGATCTTATCAGGCTACTGATAGCCTTGTTAGAAGTTATATCTATAGAAGTGACTTTTACTGGTATCTGCTGAACTAGGTTCTGTTTTTCACTTTTTGATGTTTCTTGTTAGAGGATGGAGCTTGGTCTTTTAGTTTTGGACTATGGATTCGCTACCATGAATTTTCTTTTTCCTGAATCTGTGGACTTGTATTTGAACTCTTGTTAATCAATAACTTTTTACCTCTCATTCTTTTTTAAATGCAATATTTTTTTTAATTAAAAATTAGTAACTTCAACCGGTAAAAAAAGAATGAGTTTTTCTTTCTGAAATTATTCACTGCTGACTTCTTGTGTACATGGGCTGTAGGCAGGAGTCATTGAAGAGATTGTGAATGATGCTGTTGACACGGCACTTGATTCAGAAGATATAGAAGAGGAGACTGAAGAAGAAGTTGACAAAGTTTTGACAGAAATAGCTGGTGAGACTGCTGCACAACTCCCAGAAGCAGTCAGGAGAGAGAGGATAAAGCAACCTGCACAGACAGTGAGAGCTGCCCAAGAGGTATTATTATCACGAATGCACTCCAATTCCCATTTTTTCCCTTCTGCAACCTTTATAAGACATTTAAGGAACAACTGGTTTATGCTTATTTGCAGGAAGCTATAGCTGAGGGGGCTGACGATGAGGAAGAGCTGGAAGAAATAAGGGAAAGGCTGGCTAGAGTGAGGTCATAGCTGGCTACATGCATGTTGGGTTTGTACTTTATTAACTTGGGGTCAAGCTATTTCCTAGTTGGTGGATGATGTCTTTCCAAACTGTTAACAGGCAGTTGATCCTAGCTTCTGAAATTATCAGGGAAAAGAATTAGATGTATAATAGTTCATGTTCAGATGTGCTTAAGCTACATATATTCTAGTTAATACAACTCAATCTTAACCCCAAGCTGTTGGGGTCGGCTACTTTGAATCTTGTCTTTACACTGGTTGGCTACATGAATCCTTAGAGAAATAAAAGATTTACATGGTTCGTTAGTGTGACCATCTCCACAGGAGACAGGACCATGTATCCCAGCTACAAAGTCTTCATCTAAGATAAGGATACCACACAGCAAGGCACTTTTAATACATCATTACATCTTGGCTCGGGAGGAACTGATGCAATTTGGTTTTCGCCCTACTTGTTTTAGTTCCTTTGTGCCTGTTCCCTAGTTCTATCTCTTTCTTCTGCTTGAAAAATTTTAACATAAATTGCTTATAAGAAATGAAAATGCCTACATCTGAATCATGGTGCATCACTACAAGCACAAAGAAAAAAAAAAAGGCTATATATTTTGTAGAGGTATGCTCTAATGTGATTCCATAATAATCTTTAGAAACCTTATCTGAATTTGATTTGATTAATAACCAAACATTGATCTGATCCAACTTTCAACAAAGACTAGCCCAATCCCCTCCCCCAACCAACCTTGATGAAGGTAGGAATCATAGGATTCAATTCCAAGTATTTGCTACAACCAATAGAAGATAAACCCTCCAAATACTGATTTTTTTTTTATTCCAGCTATTTTGGCACTTTGGTCATTCCTAATAGATTGTTTGGATTAAAAAGCAGCATGCATAAAAAGTTATAACTATCTTATTTTATTCCATTTAATTGGATTTTGGAGAAAAAGTTTCTCCCAATGTTGAAGCGAAACCCTCCAAATATTGATAAAATTTAAGTATCATATGATTGATGTTGATTTTTGGCAATACTTAATGCTGTTTGAACCCATTTGATGGTGGGATTCAATCCTTGATGCAACAGACAGCTTGCAATTTAATAAACTCCAAACCTGCCTACATATCCTGTCTCCAAACCCACAATGCTTAAATATTTTGTTTGGGCATGGTAAGGTTTGAAGCATTTAGATTGGATTTTTTTTTTCTTTTTTGTACTTGATTCAGGTTACTGAATTAATCTTGATTTGTAACTGAACAACCCACTCTTTTTTATAGAAAGGAAGAAGATAAAACCACATCAGCCTGGGGGCAGCTAAATTTAAATTCAACAGATCAGGGGATCAATTGGAATGAAGATTACTCTCTCTAGAAAATCCTTGAGCTTCGTGAACCAAGTCCTTGACCATGTCAATGAGTCTCCATGGGCTTTCATTTTTTCTTTTTGAGGCTGTAGATAACGACCCTTATCACCTTCAATGGTTATCCTTTTGAAAACTCTCTGTGTAGCCATGATGTGGGCTTCTTTCGCTGCCCACATTTCAGCTATATTGAATCAATGATAACTCCTTTTTTTGGCTATTGCTCTTATGATGTTGCCCTTGTGGTTCCTCACGATGCATCCTATAGCACATTCGCCTCTATTTTTTTAGGCATCAAAGTTTATTTTGGCCTCAATTTGCATCTCCCATCTAATCCAGCTCCATTGTTTTGTATGACTTTCCACCACTAAACAGGAATTTGATTCTACAAACTCAGCAAATTGCTCTCCAGCCTTTTCTAAAATCTAACTAGGGCCGTTGTTTCTATTTTTTTTTTTCATTTCTACATTTTCATATGAACCACCAAATATTAATATAGAACACCTCCCACAGGTGTTCAATCTTATTCTCTTTTCTGAGATTTAGGGTCAGTTTGATTTACAGTTGGAACCAGAATCAAAATCTTTCAGAATTGAAATCAGAATGTTCTATTCCCATAATCTGTTTTAGTTCAGACAGAAATCGGAATTAGAATTTGAATCAGCTGGAATGGGATTTCATTCCTAAGGGAGGGGGAGGGAATGGACATTCCTTCAAATGGAGAATGCCATTCCACCAAGAATGAGAATAAGATTCCAATTCCGCTCAACCAAACAGTTAATTCCGATTCCAGACCCTGGCATTAGTTTCATCAAGATCCCAAGAGTAGTGGATACAGCTCAAAGCTAACCACACCTGAGTCAATGGAAAATTTTTCTTTTAACTAATTGGTCCTTTGCTAGAATCCTATCGTTTAGCAAGCCAAAAAAAGGCTTTTATTTTGGGTGGGCTTTTCATGCACCAAATTTCCTTGAAGACATTTTTCTTGGTCTCCTCTTCCGCACCACCACTTTGTCTAAAATATTGGGATCTCTATTGGCGTAATTCCTGAAAGACTTAGCTGGGTTTTTTATTGTTCATTCCACCTTACAGTTGGAACAGTGATAGGTGGGGAATGTAACAAAATTCAAAAAGGGTAATGAATCATATGTGGAGGTGTTGGTAAATAAAACCCAAAAAACTAACAAAAGTCCATGGATGGACTTAACTCAAAGGTTTCCCTTTTATTTATTTGAGTCCATCATCATCTAAGCCTTGTTTCAACTGGCGTTGGTGATTTATAAACTGGAAAACTATATGAGGTGGGTTACATGTAGACCTATCAAAGAGTTGACCCAACCCGCGAACCCGACCCAACCCAACCCAAAATAATAGGGCCAGAGTCTCATATGTAGCAACCCGAATGTGAAACGACCTGAAAAACTGGGTTGGTTGGGTTGGGTCGGGTCATGGGCCAACCCGCTGACCCGATTGTCAAGTCTAATTGAGATTTTTTTTTTTAAATTTCAATTATTTTTTTGGGATGACCCGAATTGACCCATGGGTCAACCCTAACCTGAACATTTAGGGTTAGGGTCTACCATTTGGCAACCCAACCCGAAATACCTTGACCCAACCCAAACCCGATCCACCCAACCTGATTGCGAGGTCTAGTTACATGAATTCTATTTCGCCATTCCACTATCTTTTATACCACATTCATTGTTAAATGATGAGCACGGATTTCCTATTTGAGTTAGAAATGCTAAAATGCTAAATTATAAGGATTTTTTTTTTATTTTGAATTCAAATTTATTTAGCCCCTGCTTTTCCAAGCGAGACGCCAAGCCTTGTGTTTGAAGTAGCCGAATGCTTTGCTTGTGCATATACCAGTAAGAATTGGGAAAGCCTCGTGGTCTAAGTTTGATTAGAAAAAGGGTTCAACTATGACATTGGAAAGGCATAATACTGGAAAAACTTATAGTCAATTAGACCTATTTATGGGCCGGATAGCTTGATGGGCCTGTCCACCCTGACTCATTCTTGGTCAGGCTTAGACAAGATGTTAGGTCCGTGGGCTTGAGCTCAGACTTTGTCCTAAAACACTAGGCCCGACTTTTTTATGGGCCAAGCTTAGGCTTTTTTAAAGCCTAGTCCAAGCCCGAGGGATGAGCCCAACTCGATAATGTTTTATATAATAAAAATATATATAATACATATATATTTTTTTTGTTTATCCCTCCTCTTAATCTCTTTTCTTAAGCCATAGTGAGATCTTTCAGTATTTTTTAGTCTTGAGGTTGTTTAATATAAATAAATTAGTTTTATTTCGAGTAAAAAAAATTTTCTTGCCCAACTTTCTTGGTTGGGATTGGGTTGAATATTCTATCAATATTAGAGGCAAAGCCCAGCCCAGCCCATGAACAGGTCTACAACCAATTAATTGGTATTATAAATGAGGTGGTCAATCAGGCAGCATTCATCAAAATTCATAGGGGTTCTGATTGGTCAAAATTCTTGTGGTACCATGTATTTCCAGTATCAAAGATTTTCTTTTAGAAAAAGATAAAAATACAATATGGATTCAAGGTGAAAGAAAATATAAGAAGAGGCTTGAAGGTTTCAAGTAGTTGGGAGAGAGATAAATGGTGATTGTAGGGGTGCAAGTTGAGAAGGTTTTAGTTCATCCCCAAGAATTGGGATCAAGGCTTGAAGTCAAGCCTGATCTGCCATTGCCTGTACTAAAATTTGATGCATTTGGATTGGGCTTAAGCCCGGGCTGGGCTCAGGTTAATCAATTAAAATTTAACATAATGTGTCTATATGACTGTGTTAGGGAATAGGGATGGCAACAAGGGTGGGTTCAGGGGAGGGTTTTGTAAATTCTAAACCCTACCCACCTCCCTAAATCTCCCAACTCATACCTGCCCTAAAACCCATAGTGGGTTGGATTTTGAGAATCCAAACCCTCCCCATACATGAAAATATAAAACCCTCCCCACGTTTAAGGTTAGGGTAGGTTGGGTATAGAATTTGCATATAATTTCCTATTATTTCTTATTATATATAAGCAATAAATAAGTAAAATAACACAAACAAACAATAAAATTTCCAATTTTTTGATTAAAACATATAAAAAGCATATAATCTATCAATTATCCATCACATAAAATTCAAAATATCATTAAACTCAAAACTTAATACATAAATTTTATATGCTTTCTAACAATATGCAGGTCGGGGAGGGTCAGATTTAGCTTAATACCATACCGTACTCATACCCATACAGGTTGTAAAATCACAAAACCATGGAGGGTAGGGGTGGGTACCCATGGGGTAGGGTAGAAATTACCATCATTACTAAGCCCGGATTTAACATAAAATTAAAAAAAAAAAAAAAAAAACTCAGTCCAAGGCCTAAAAATCCAATCCCAATCCCAGTCCATATAAATTGGTAGACTGGGACCGCCCGTACTTGGTTGGGCCCGCTCAATTTGCTCCCATGGTATACATGTCTAATTTAACGTGTGAAGTACAATCATATTTGATATTTCCCTCGACTTCACGTCAAAGATAACTATCATCCCAAAATTTTAGGCCCCGTTTGGTTAATAAGAATAGGGGCTGGAATTGTAATCAGAATTCAGAGTAGGTTATCCAATTGTTTGGCTGGTTGGAATTGGAATATCATATTTCCCATTTAAGGAAACAGCCATTCCCTGTTTTTCTCTTGGGAATAGAATTTCATTCCTGCTGATTTTAATTCCCATTTCCATTCCTGTATGAATCAAAAATATACCATTTCAAAAGATTTCAATTTGGATTCTAATTACAAACCAAACAGATCCTTAATCCATTTATTTTCTTTTTCCCACCCTCTCTCTCCCCTTAATCCAGCAGAAAACTAGGGATTAACTACTAGATACCTTACTTTCGCGGGAGGGAACCCCAAAAAACATCTACACAAAGCTTAACTCCAGACGACCAGTCGACCACCATGCAACTCATGTGCCCTTCCAGGTTCCAGGTCCCTACTGCCTACCCAAAAAAAAAAAAAAACAAGAAAGAAAGAAACTACACAAATATCACGCAATTCATCAATCAGGATGATCGTTACCAAGAGGATCAGATCCTGACCACCAGATTTAACATTCATGTGGACCCCATCTACCATGGTGGATCCCACAGAAATTCCATCGCTGCGTTGGACAACCTCTCTGATAGCGTATACGTTTTCAACGGACGACTGACACGCAAAGCAACGCTAAAAAACTCCCTCTCTGCTTTGTCCTCCCCGTTCTCCTCTAACAGTCTAACCAGTAACTACCTTACTACTTCCTGCCTGGACCAGAGAATGTTAGTTGGAAAAGCCAAGTAAGCTCTCTCTCTCTCTCTCTCTCTCTCTCTCTCGCTTGCACGTTTCGTTAGTCGTTTCCGGTGAAGTTTCTTTAATCTCTAAGCACTTTTTCTTTAAATATACTTTAATCGTATTTACTAGTCTATTATTCCTTCCGCTTTATCAGACAGGTCGGTTTTCATCGCTTATAAGAGCTCCCACTGAACCTTCTCTCATTTTATCTCTCTGTCCAAATCCCAACAAGAAAACAAAAAACCAAAAGAAATGGGGAGAAATCTCTCTTTTATGTTTCTCTCTCTTCTCCTTCTTCATTCTTCCCTCTCTTCTGCATCGGTTCCTAATGATCTTCGCCTTCCTTCCACTGCAAAGTTCCCAACAATACAAGCAGAAAAGTTAATCCGGGATCTTAACCTCTTCCCTAAGGATGCCGTTGACGTGGTTGGTGACTCTTCGGTTGCTCCGAAGCTCGTCGAGAGAAGGTTTAGCTTCCCAAATCTTGCTGACCCTAGCGTTTCCTTGGACGATCTCGGTCACCATGCTGGATACTATCGGCTTCAGCACTCTCACGCCGCCAGGTATTAGTTAAACCCTAGAATTGTTAATCCAAAAATGAATCACGATGGGGAGGGGTCAGTTCTCTATGGAATTTTGGTTATTAATATGAAAATTCGGGGCTCAAATGGGAATTGAACAAAGAAAATTGGTACTTTGCATTGGAATTTGATGCCAATTACTTGAAAGTTTAAGCCTTCAACTGAATTTGCTTGCATGCAGTTGTACCGATGATATGATGTCAACCTAAATAGCTAATTAACTCGTATATGCATAATTGTCCAATTTAGTACGGGTTGTGTTAGACATGGATGCCTGTTTGGTAAATAAATGCGTGCACATGCTAAGGTTGATTCTCATGATCAAGTAGCTTAAGGGAGAATATTTGTAAACGCCATGTAAATATCCTTTTTCTTTGTTTGTATTTGCTAACAGATGCTTGCATTGATATTTTTGCTTAGTTCATTGCTTCCCAGATACAAATTATCATTCTGTTTCTACGTAGTTCTTCTGAATTCTTTCATCCACTTTTTTAGGATGTTCTACCTTTTGTTCGAGTCGAGGAACAGCAAGAAAGATCCTGTTGTCATATGGTTGACTGGAGGGCCAGGTTGTAGCAGTGAATTGGCTGTTTTCTATGAAAATGGGCCTTTCACCATTGCAAAGAACTTGTCACTTGTCTGGAATGAGTATGGCTGGGACAAGGTATGTATTGTTTTTTCTGTCTGGTTTCCTCTTTATGCTGAGCTGAATAGGGCTTTTCATTCTAACACGATGCTTTTAAAAAACTCATACTTTTTTTTCACCCGGGGGGGGGGGGGGGGTAGTAGTGTTATTTAGGTGATAAAGCCTTTCTTTTTGGGTTACCTTGCTCCTTGCTGTGATGTTTATTTATTTTTTAAGGAAGGCCTACCAACCAATTTAGGTGTTGTTTAAGTAAACCTTGTAAAAGAGTTGAAAGGTCATCTTGGTAAACTAATCTTCAATTTTGAGAGCCATGATAATGATGTGTTGCAATAGGGCTTCAACTGGTAGTCTTCATAATAGTCTTCCTTGCAAGATGCTTCAAGATACCTGTTCTACTTCCATTTCTTTTAATTTTTATGAGCAGAATTGGGAATAATCTCTCTTTATGGCAGATCAAGGGCTGCTCCCCTTCATTTGTTCCTTTTCTTCTCAATAGTAACTCCCCTCTCAATCTTTCTAGTACTAGAATAACAGCTGCATTGTTTCTAGGGCTGCAAAGGTATCCGATTGTCCAAATTCGAATTCAAATCCGATCCTATAAAGGGTGATCTGAATTCGATTTGTTATAATTGGATCAAAATATGGCTCCACTCATATCCAATTCGGTTCAATTTAAATATAGATGTTCATATATACTTAAAAATTTATATTATATCTATCAGTAAAGTTGGTTTGGATGTTGCATTTTCACTAAATTGTCATAAGTTCAAGTTACATACAAGTAATTTTCAATTCATTTTGTTCATAAAATATAACATTGAAGTCATTTTTAGTTCATTTTATTAATAACACATAATAGTTTGGTCATTTTTAATCTAATTTATTTATACTATTTAATATCCAATTATAATCCGAATTTGATTTGAATCCGCTAGATAAATGTGATTCTAATTTAAATATAAATGAATCAAATTTGGACCTACCTATATCTGATTCAATTCGATCCGTTTGCAGCCTTTACTTCTTCATTTATTTCTTATCTTTTCTCTACAATTAACATATATGTGCCTATCACCTTTTTATTCTTTATGGTATTTATCATAATAGGGGCTCAATTTCTTAGCTTTTTCTTCTCCATTCTTTGAATTATATCACTTGCATATAATTATTCTCTTAGTATCTCCTTCCATTAACAAAATAGCACTCCACACATTAGTTTTATCATCAATTACTTAATATAGCTTTTGTTCTACTTTTAGTGTTTATGCTAAATAGCCTCTAATGTTTAGTTGTTTACTAGTCCATAGTTGCTACTTCAACTAGGGAAACAAACTAGCAAAAGAAGCTAGTATAAAAAATCACGAGTAATGCTTGGGCGGGTGTCTAGTCCTAGGTGACGAGGCCCTCCCTTGTTGCTTAGCCTTGCCTTGCTCCTTGACAACTATTGATGTGAGGTACATATTGGTCCAAAAAAGGAAGAGATGCTTATGTTTATGCTTGTCTATGTATAGTAGTTTCAAAGTTTGAAGGAAGTGGAACTTGTCTGATGGTACTGATACTAGTCCAAGAATAACTTCTGTTGTGCTTCCTCCTGAGTTAATTAGTTAGCTCAGCATTTCCAATATTCCTTTCTATTGTCTATCTTTCATTTTCCTTTTGAAGAATTTGATTGCAACAGAATGAGGACAGTTGTCATATCCCATGGATGCAACCACCCAGTTCACTATACCTTGATAATCCACTTGTCAATTAGAGTGAATACTAAGCCTAAGAGTCAAATTTATTTTCAGGAGAAAATACTTGCACATGAGTCCAAGATATCTTGTAGAACCAAACTCTTGACACAATCACACAACCAAGTCAATGCCATTGACCAGTGTTGCTGTCATGATTTTATGAAATAAACACATGGCCAATGTTGTCAAAATCTTACAATTTACAATACGATTCATGATTTGAATCATGAATCCCAAGGGTTTCGATTTGAATCTTATGTCTAAATCCTTTTCTACAAAAATCTTACGATTTTTGTTTGAATCCTACGGTTTGATTCATAAATCTTATGATTTTTATGATTCACTATGATTCAAATAAATTCAATTAAGAATTAGTTCTCTACTTTGTTTCTTTTTTTGTTTATGTTTAATTTTGCCATGGGAGACTTTTTTTTAGAAAATTACGTATTTACATTATTCAAGACTAGAAATTGAGTTTATTTTCTATCATATGTAAGTTAAAGGGCCATTGTATTTAGATTTGTTTGATTTTCAAGTCAAACATGATTATATAATCTTAGGCTTCTATTGTATAAGTGATAAATTCTATTGTTTTAAGTACATATATGGTAGATATAGATAAAAAATAGGGTAAAATCACTTTCCTATATAATATTTAGCCTTTTAATATATCTATATTTAATTTTTTTGACAAGTTTGTATAAAATAGAAATAATCTTACAATTTACGATTCAATTCAAATTTCTCTACGATTTACGATACAATTACGATTTTCAAAACATTGCATATGGCATTATCATCTTAATTTTGGATTTTATTTGAGCCCATTAGCTATTACTACCTATATTTGTAGAGAGTTGCAAACTATGGCCAACATGAAGATGAGTCATGGCATAATGCTGATATGAAAATTGATAACAATAACCACCTGTGCTTTCTAATTTCTTTCTTGACTCCTCGAAATTGGTCATTTGCCATATTATGGAAGCAAAATGTAATCTAGTGAGCTTCAATGCAGCTCGGAGATGCTTCATTTCTTTTAAATAACTTCAGCTACCTTTTTCATATATGTAGTTGTACATTCGTCATCAGTTAAAAGAACAACAGTATTTTATAGAACAGAGTGTTGGGCAATCAAGAAACATCATGTCCAAAAAATGAGTTTAGCAGAAATGCAAATGTCAAGATGGATGAGTGGGAAATTCAGAAATGACAGAATAAAAAATGAACATATTTATGGGAACCTAGGAGTATCCCCAATAGGTGAAAATATGATTGAAAATAGACTAAGATGGTTTAGTTACATATGTACATCCCCTCGTGTACTTTTTTTGTTCATAATATATAGTCACTTTCCTCAAAAAAAAAAGTTACGTGCAGAAATTAACAATGGATATGGCATTGTTGCAAGTTGAAGGATCTAGAAGAGCTAGGGACGAGCCAAAAAGGACATTGGTTGAAGTAGTGGGAAATGATTTGAGGGCCCATGATTCAACAATGGACATGGCACTTAACAGAGTTGAATGGTGCAACAGGAGTCATGAAACTGATCCCATTTGGTTGGGATGAGGCTTAGTTGAGTTGCACATGTACCATCTCATAGGGGCTTGCCTGGCAGAACCTTATTCCACAGATCCTGGGCAATTCCTCATGAACCCTCTTTTCTCTAAACCATTTGACTTCTCTGGGTTTGCATGCACCTAGTGTCTCATTGCATTTGACTTCTAGGAAAAGCAAGCTAATCTGCTCCTTTTTCTGAATGTACAAGCTTCTTCTGGAACATTAAATACAAGTGCAGGAGCAATGAAGCAGCAGTTTGCTTTACTGCAATTTATGGAGGTGCAGGCAATGCTAGGTTTATCAAGGATGCATTTGAAATATGATACTGTTGAATGTTGTAGGGCATTGTAATTTGCAATTATATTGCTTGTTTTTATTTTTTAATCAGAAATTGGTCATTTTATTGATTGAGAGAAAGAAAGTATACAGATTGTATGCCTTGCACGGCTTGTAGAGGGTAGCAAGCTAGTCAGTCTATTTCTTAGTTATAGTTTAGAATTATATTAGCCATATGTATGTGAAAGTTTGCTTTATGTATTACTTGTTCATACATAAACATGAAATGCATTTTGATTGATTGTTATGGCAGCTTTAAGATACCTTTCATTGTCACTCTGCAGACATCAAACCTTCTATATGTTGATCAGCCTACTGGAACTGGTTTTAGTTATAGTTCTGATAGACGTGACCTCCGCCACAATGAAGAGGGTGTAAGCAACGATCTATATGATTTCATGCAGGTGTGTTTTTTTTTTCTCCTGATATGTTACTCTCTCTTAAACATATATTTGATGTGTTGTTTATGTCTTCTTTCCAACCACAGGTACCATGTCTGAAACAAAGAACAGAAAACTCCTTATTGTCCAACTTTTAATTGGTTTAACCTAAAATAAAATCCCCCTTCCCAAAAAACGAAAAAAAAGAAAAAAGAAAAAATAGATGTAGGAAAAACAAAATATAGAAGGAAAAATAGTATTCTCAGATGGAAAAAGTTCATTAGGTTACAAAATTTGATGAGAAATTACTGATAAGGACTTACAATTAACAATTATGGAATAAAATCTTTGTGAAAATTTTCCTCCAATGAAAACTTGTGCCAACTAGGTCCTCTTTTAGATTCAACCTCTTTCCAGCCACTTCTGAAATGGCTTTTTAGTTAGACATCCAATAGCTTTTCTATTTATTGTTATTATTGTTTAGGAGAACCTAACCAAAGACGTAATTTTTCTTTATTTTTGTTCTTTTTTTTTCAAAATCAAAATGTATTTTCTTTCTTTTATTTTCATTTTTCATCTTTATTTTATTTAATTAATCACTAATCTATTTGGATATTGGACAACATGATTCTAAAAGGTTAAGTTCTATACGTAATAATAGGGAGAAAGAATAATAAAGGAATATTTTTATTTTTTGTTCTTACTCATAAAATATTGAATTAATACAAAATGGGGTTTGCGCTAGCTTTAGGCCTTGGTGAGCATAACTTTAAACACAAGGAGAATTAGTGCAAGCAGTTTTGAGCACTATCCTTAAGTGGCATAAAGAATTGAAATGATACCTTTTTGATTATCTTCCGAAAAAGTACCTGGCTTGACAAAGGATTCTTATGCGTGATGTTAGGCATTCTTTTCTGAGCATCCTGAGTTTGTGAAGAATGACTTTTACATAACTGGAGAATCATATGCTGGGCACTACATTCCTGCTTTTGCTTCTCGAGTTCACCAAGGAAACAAAGCAAAAGAAGGGATCCATATTAATCTGAAGGTACAACTCCTTTTCTTTTTCTGGATTGGAGTTATATGTGCTTTATTCAGCTTGCTTTCTTTGACTTGTGCAAATTGGAAATGGTTAAACAGGGATTTGCCATTGGAAACGGACTTACTGATCCTGCAATCCAGTACCAAGCATACACAGATTATGCTTTGGAAATGGGAATTATTAAGGAAGCTGACTACAAGAATATTAACAAGATGCTACCAGCATGTGAACTGGCAATAAAACTTTGCGGTACTTATTCTTAATTTCAGAGACCTCACCAAATTATTTTATATTCATCATAACTCCCTTATCTTGCTCTATTTCAACATAAGTGTCCATGTAGATTGCTCGTCAAAAGCCATTTTTGAAATGATTTACTTGTATATGAATATTAAGGACTGTTAAAATATTTTTGGTTGGCCAATACTGCACAGATCCATCTAATTTTCTTATAGTGGAAATATTGTTTCAGGCACCAATGGTAAAATCTCGTGCATGGCATCATATCTTGTTTGCAATACCATATTCAGTAAGATCATGGGGCTCGCTGGTGATACAAATGTAAGAAAGACCATATATCCATTCCATGTCTATATTAGAGACCGGGCATTGAAGAAGTATTGACCATGTCTATGGCAATGACTCTGTTATGTCTTTAATCTGCAGTATTATGATATCAGAAAAAAGTGTGAGGGGAGCCTCTGCTATGATTTCTCAAACATGGAGAAATTCCTGAACCAGAAGTCTGTAAGGGATTCCCTTGGAGTTGGGGACATTGAATTTGTCTCATGTAGCCCTACCGTATACCAGGCAATGTTGATGGACTGGATGAGAAATCTAGAAGTTGGTATCCCTGCTCTTCTGGAGGATGGAGTGAAGTTACTTGTATATGCCGGAGAGTATGATCTGATATGCAACTGGCTTGGTAAGTTTCTAGGCTTCAACTCAAAAGTCTCCATTTTTATTCGTTGAGAATGCTACTTACCTGTATTGGGTGTTCATTTTTATTGGGCAGGGAACTCTAGGTGGGTCCATGCCATGGAATGGTCTGGTCAGAAAGCTTTTGTAGCATCCCCAACTGTTCCATTTTTGGTCAATGGTACAGAAGCAGGCCAATTGAAGAGCTACGGGCCTCTCAGTTTCCTCAAGGTCCAATCCACACCTCTTCATCAGATAGTTTTTACAAGTTTCTGTCAGTTAACCATGTATGAACGTATCAATACTGATCTGCATTGGGGTTGTCTGAAAACAGGTTCATGATGCCGGTCACATGGTTCCTATGGATCAACCCAAGGCTGCATTGGTGATGCTGAAGAGGTGGATGCAGGACAACCTTTCTGAGGCACCAGAGAATGGGGTTGCTGACATGTGATGCCCATGACCTCAACCATGATAGTTGCTGCCACTAGTGCCTCTTTAATGTTGGCGTCTTCTGTATGGCTTTAGAGATGGTGTTGTGGTCTTGGTCTGGATGCAAGCGTCATATTTGCTCCTCCCCTCAAAGGGCTTGTGAATATTTTGCCCAAAACACTAGGGTATCTGATCTTCTTCTGTGGCTGCGGTCTGCCGGGGAAGTTAGCTGGTTTTAAAGGATTATAATTCAATAGGGTATAAAGAGTGTGATGGTCCAATACTTGTAGTTTCTATCCTGTTACACTGGAATGAGTAAGGCTGGCAAACTTTGCTAATTTCACACTTCTGGTACTTGCATTTGATAATTATTCGCCCTGTCTAGACCTGGCAATTGGGTTGGGTCAAGGTACTTTGTGTTGATTTCGGGTCGGGTTGTTAAATGCTAGACCCTAACCCTAAATGTTTGGGTTCGGGTTCGGGTCATCCCAAAAATAATTGAAATTTAAAAAATTAAAGAAAAATTACATGAAAAATGTCAAAATTAAAAGAATTAACCTTAAAGTTTTAAATATAAATTAAAAAATTTGGACATTTAACAATTTAAAGACTAAACAATAAAAAGTAAAGACTAAATAGAAAAAATTAAAGAGTGGAAATTTCTAACAATACATAAATAATCCCAATTAGACTTGACAATTGGGTCAGCGGATTGACCCATGACCCAACCCAACTCAGTTTTTTTTGGGTTGAGTCATTTCACATTCAGGTAACTAAATATGAGACCCTAACCCTGTTTTTCGGGTTAGGTTGGGTTCGCTGGTTGGGTCAACTTTTTGTCAGGTCTAACCCTATCCTGTTAAGAACCTCAACCATGCATACGTCCATACCATAACGTCATAACCCAATCCAACTTCCACTCGATGTTTTGAATCCTACTCTAATGAAATCACAGGGTTGCTCAGGTCTCGGGTTCATGTCACAGCCCACCCTATCAAATTATCAAATAAATTCCTCCTTTGCGCATTTGATCCCTTTGCTTCAATTAGAGAGATTTATGAGTGTAATTTCTATGGTACCTAGAACAAACAGTTTCAAAACCACGACCATATACTGCTGCAGCTGTATAGGCCCTTTCCACATTCTATAAAATTATAAATGGTAGCCAATCAACTTCTAGGAACGACCATGGTTCAAAGTTTAGTTCCAATCGGAACTTGGAGAAGCCTATCACAACAGATAATAGAGAAGATAAAATGTGTTGAAGTTTGACCTGCCATAGAATTCTGTCTTGTTCG